AAAAATTTGACTGGCAGCCATTAGTTTAAATCCTTACCACTACATATTAATTACTTATACTAACACCAGGCAAAAACCCTTAAGTTTTACAAAGTAGGATATATGAGTTTATGGAACCACAATTTTTTACAAACATAAAGGAAAAGAGAAAGTATGGAAACCAAATTGGTTATATTAAATAAAATGAACAATCGTTGATTTTAAAACGTAACTTAGTAGACAGTAAAAAATATAGATATTCTTAACAGGTGCTTTAATATTGGAGCTTAATATGCCACATTAATAACAAACTTAAAATTGTGCCTGCCTAACTACTTCATAAAGTCGAGTCTTTTTTCGGTATTGGTTGCAGTGCAAGTAACATACGTATTCACTATCATGTAACTGTGATATTTAGTTCGTGCGCCTATATCGAATGAGACAAACTAATGGATCGAAGAGTTGCAATTAAAATGAAATTATGTGATAAATACTGAATTAAGTGCCATCAGGCATTCAATATGTTTAAGAAAGCCTTTAGCGATAAGAATATATTGTAGCGCTAAGTTTAAGTATGGTTCTAGCCTAAAATTCATCAAGACACAATATAAACACTTGCTACTTGTAGTCTTAAAATTATACACAAAAGTTAAATTGAACAAAATATTTCTAAATACCACTGATGATAACACTGATCATAACAGAATCACGGTTCTTGTCTGAGTGGTAGACCAAACATAATATTATATCTTAAATAATTGCTAGTCACCAAATTCAATTTAATGTAGGATTTAATGTAGGATTTTTAACAATCATGAACTTGAACAACAAATTTAATTTTTATTAATTAAATTTTTTTGCTATACTTATAGTTGTTTTGAGTTTTTGTTGTTTGCATGAACCTAACATGCTAATAATAATTTTAAATAATTAATTTGAACTTCATTTGATGGGATTGTTTTTTAAAAATATTTATATTCGCAAAATAGTAAATACGAGTATTATAATATTTATTCAGGTATGACATATTTGAGAAATCCATACGATACCTTTTTGATAACTTAATTAATATAAAAGTTATAATAATTTACTTCGAAAATAATTTATATTATTCAATTCACCTAAACAGTTCATAGTTTAATATGTAAAAATTACTCTAAACTCATTATTGTTTAAATTTGCTTAATCATTTTCTATTGAGCAGTAAATGTGCATTAAGTATTATAAAATATAGTAGAGATAAAATTAAACTTGTCAGAGTATATAAATTTTATAACAAAATTTTATTAATATTTCACTAAAGTTTTATTGTTTTTGTTATCAAAAAGTTTATCACTAAAATTTTACTTTAGATTTGCAGTTGACATTTATAGTTGATATTTGCAGGCCGCAAGTCATTATTGAATTCGCTGTTCTGATTTTACCATTAAACTTTATCAATGAAATTGGGAATGGTTTCAATTTTAGAATATTGTGAAATTATTTTCAATTTTTGTGTATAATAGATAAATTTCGTTTTGTTTTACGATATTTTGAGTATGATTATAAAGAACTAACTTGTATAAGTTAATTTAAATTTTTAGCGTTTTTTTTTAATCACAATTTATTTATTTAATTTATTTATTTATGCTTAAATTAATAAATTTGACTTCCATAAAACTCTTAATTTTCATAGAAATTTTTTTATATATGACATTAAGAGCCGTTTTCAGTCTTAACTTAAATCTCACTACTGACGCAAGTACTACTTAATTTGCAAAAATTAATGAGTTAATCATAATTTAAGACAGTTTCGATATTTAATTTCGACTGTGAAACTAAGTAATTTAAATTATGTAGCTATTAAGCTCTAAGTAAGTAATTACTTATTACCAACTCACTATATTAATTATATAATTCTTTGACCATAAGAAACTGACATCATTCTAACGCAGTCCTTCCTCTCCTTCAAGCGCCCTTCCTGTGTGCGTTTCTTTCGCAATTTCATGCTGCAAGCTCTGTTATTGTTTTCTCAACTTGATAACTCAGACTTATTATTATTATTTAAAATAGGCTATTTGTGCACCCCGACCTAAAAGATCTATTGTGCGCCTATAGGCCCAACTAGGACAATTTTAGACTATTTATAAATCTTATAATTGCAGTGGGCTTAATTTTACCTATTTGATTTGGGACCAGGATCCCGCTACCAAGGTAATCGAGTCTACGTCTTGCCACCGCTGGGCAGTTGCATAGAACATGTTCTGATGTTTCCTTCTCCTCATAACAGAGTCGACAGGAATCACTTTCTACCGCACCTATGATCTTCATGTGGTAATTAAGTCTACAGTATCCTGTAAGAAGTTCAGTGTAGATTTTGATATCATTTCTGCTAAGGTTGTAACATAAAATTTACACCA